CATAATCAGTATGCAATCTTTGCACATGTACATACATGTTGTACTGTAGGGCGCCTTTTTTTCGAGGGCTATAAATTTCGTAGATTTCGTGATTTTTTTAAAGATTCGCGAAAATTACTTTCGCGAAAATCAAATTAATACAGTACAAGATGGCAGACAGCATAAATTCGCGAAAATGAAATCCGCAAAATAAAAATCCACAAAATTTATAGCCCTCGAAAAAAGGCACCCTACGGTATGCTAAATGTGGAGGAATTATTTTTGGTAGTTATAAGTGTTCATTCCCTGTATCGATACTATGACTTAATGCCAAAAACCAACCATCCTCTTAATGAATCCTGATTATGTTTCATTATCAAATTATTTCATATAGTATAATAATAATCATTATTATTTTATTTCTGTGCATATGTAGTTAGAAGATTTCCTGTCAAGGTCTCAAAATTTGTCAGCCGAAGTACTGCTTAACATTATTTATCTGATGCCCACTGAACAGTTTAACAAAGCTCACGTTAGTTTAGTACTGTTTGTGTATAGTCTTACAGATGTATTTTCATCATATTATTTAGATTATCTCTGAGTTTCTAGGAAAATCTGTAGTCCCTAAGTCACTTCTTGAAGAACCTAATTGTCAACTCATTACTATGGCAGTTAATATGTATGTGCATCTTATGTGTGTAGATATACGTGTAGCATGCTTACAGTATAAGTAATAGCAAATCAGCCATTTTAATTTTTAAATGTACACACAGACTAAGGTAGATTGCCTAATATATAGCCATGAAGTGTGGTGAGTTCAAATATTACATGTATATACCGTATACCGTATAGCCGGAAAATTTGGCGGTCTAAAAATTTGGCGGTTTTGCATCAAATAGCCTAAATATAATATTGGCGGTCTCTTAATTTGGTGGTCTACTATATATTGCCTTTTCTTTAAGCACTCTCAGCTCTTCTTGAAGCTGCTCCTTGCCAGTCCTTGCCCACAGTCTTGACTGAAATAGTGAGAAATACTCAGAAATACTGTCATTTTGGCATTTTTAGTATTGTGCTCATGACGGGATCCGCCCATCATTGCAATTATTATTGGTGGTTATAATATTGGCGGGTTTTATTTTGAACCACCAATCTGCCAAATTTTCCGGCTATATGGTGTGCCATATATTAATTTCACAAATAAAAATTTTGCGATTTTAATGTAATTACCACACCTACTATACAATGAGCACGCTATTTTGCAGATTTTTTTCAAAATGCAAAAATTGCAAAATTTAACCCCCACTAAATATATGGCATATACGGTAGTCCTTCACTTAATGCTATTACTAATTTTAACTATTTTCCTTGCCTTATATTCCCTTTTTCTTTTAGTGCTTCAGATGCTGATGATTTAATTTCTTATTTCAAAACTGCAATGGAAGTCTACGTAAAATCACACCGGCCACTCGATTTTTTTATTGACTTAATGTCACTTAATCTTCAGCCATCAGACAAAGTTGAAAGTGACTTCACGAAGTTCCTTACAAATTATGTTTCTTCTCCAGTTTTACTGGCTCAACTAAAAGACAATCCTGGCAGACTTTTTGTTAGTTGCATTATACTGCCTTATATGAATTTACAACTATCATTACAATATAGTCTAATCCTAATAGTTTGATGTTCGTCAACTCATTGAATTTGCTCATATTGAAGGAAATACTTAAGGTAATGCATATTAATGCATATATGGTGCATGTATATTACTGCAGGTAAGAAACAGAATAGTAATTGTGTGGCCATGGTACTACAGGTATTGTATGTGTTATTTTTAATCACAAGTGATTAACAAGAACAAGTACTTGACAAATTATAGTACTTTTGTATTTATGATGGCATGCACTCTTAATATTTTATATCTTTCTATACATTTTATATTAATGATATTTTTTATATTTTAGAGCTCACTTAAAATTTTGGGAGCTAATGTAATATTGGCCAGTATTAAAGATTTTTTTACTAATATGAACATAGAGGATGTGTCTTTTTCATCGACTGGCATTAGAGCTGCTTTATTTATTGTACACTCTGAGCTACAAAATGTTGAATTTACAAATTTTAGCTGCTACAGAGAACATTCCTCTACTCTCATTTTCTTTTCACTGTCATTTAGAGCAATTTGGACTGCTTTTATTAAAAGGAAAGAAAACTCCTCACTTAGTGATTTTGAAATTGATATAGTTGATATTCCTGAAATTCAACCTGCTATTGAAACTATTCGCTCTCTTAAAAACCTTGTGTCAGATACTACAAGTCATGTTAGAGAAAGAACAATCACTTACATTAACCTCGAAGCAATCAATTCAGGATATGAAGCTTATGACTCTATCTACAACTGTATTGCCAGTGTTTATGGAGGGATAGAAATTGGAGAAAAAATTTCCAAGGAAGAAATTGATAAATGTCTTTCAGAATATGACTGTCTTGTGTGTAAGATCGAAAATTTGTTAGTGACAAAACCTAAAAATCTTCCCAGTTTAGCAAGGTTAGTATATGGAGACTGGAGAGTATATTTTGATATTAATACCGGCAGTAAAATTATTTTCAACATAAAGCATGGAGAATTTTCTTTAATATAATAGCCAAAATACATGTGTGATTTTCATCCTTAAGCTGATGCAAGATAAATTTTAGTTTATGTGTTGTGTTTAGTGTAGATTTGTAATTTCATGTGAAAAGATCATACTTGATCACTCCTAATAGATAGTATTCCATAGTAATGGTAATAAGTAATAGTTAATACATGGGGCGGCGTGTTCTATCTGATTTATCCGCATGAGCTTCCGGTCGAGTTGCTAAAAATAGTGCAAGAGGCCGAAGGCCGAGTGCGCTATTTCTAGCGACGAGACCGGAAGCGAGTGCGGATAAATCCGATAGCACACGACGCCACATGTATTAATTGTTTTAGTGTATAGTTCCAGCAAAGATTGCACGTGCTCTGCTATCACTGATATCACACTGCTGCACATTAAATAAATGAGTGTGCTATTTATAATATCACACTGCAGTATTGGTGGGAGTCTTCTGTGGGTTTTATCACAACTGTTAGGCCTTTGATCTTTGCTGCAACTATACATTAAATTTTTATTAATATTTTGTTGTTTTAATTTTAGACTGACTGTAAAATCAGTCCTACAAAGCTATGGCATTACATTTCCAGATGATTTAAATGCTGAACTCCTTTCTTCTGTTGCACAGTCATCTAGCCACCTTATTGATGATATTTCATCATTTGAAAGTGAAGAGTCACAAGAGTTTGTTGTGGTCAAATATCGTGCAGCCACTGGATGTACACTTGCCACTATTGAGGCTTTTGTTGAGCACCTTCAAATTTTTCTCCAGCCTTTGAATGATGAATCCATGAATGTTCTTGCTTTCAACAATTTGCACAAATCGCAGATTCTCAAGAAATGTATTGAGCATTTCCTGGAAGAATCTAATGACTCTGATTCTACCGAGACCAAAATGAAGAAATTAAATGAAGCTGTGAAAAAGGCTAACAACTTTGTCGAGCTGCTAATGGATGATCATGGACGCATTCTCTCAATGAAAGATGTTGCAAGTGTTTTTAAACCTGAAGATCTTGCAACACTTGACCTCCCAAGAGAAAATAAAGAACTTCGTCAGTTTTATAAATTGAAATATGGTAATAAAATACATATTGATGTCACGGAGAAGCTGACAACATTTCTGGAACTAGATTATGTTTGCAAGCAAATTAGCAGTGTATACAATGTCTGTTATAACTATGGACTGATAAAGTGCTTAGAAGATCCTGTCATGCGTCATCTTTTGAATCTTTCTGAAGCTGTAGATAGGGGAAAATTGGTAGTTCTGATTGAAGCAAAGGAACATGTAGACTTTGCTAGAACATCATTTGAGATATCAACAGGAATTAGTCTAATTGATCATCCCTTGTTTGTCTTGTTCTCACATTTGGAAAAAGGCTGCCCACTTTATAACTTTGCTTCTGAACGTGGCTATGGCTCAGAGGCAGGTATGGACACTTTTATGCAAGAGCATAGCCTTGTGACAGCAGACCTTCTGTTTGAGGAGTTCCATGAAGATGTACTAGCAATGCTTATAGCTGCTATGGAGCTTGTCATTCCTTTCTTTGATAAAACCTGTAATTTAGTCGAGTTATGGGAGAACATTCGAAAACTTAAAAATGTCGAGGCTGCTATTGCTCAGTTGTTAACAGTTAATGGAAATATTGATTATGTAAGAAGTTGGTTCAATCAGGCTAATGTAAGTAAATTCTAACAATTTACATAATTTAAGTTTTTAAATAATAGGGACAGGCTCAGGAAAATAACGAAATGATCCTTCGAGCTATTTTGAAATCAGGAAGTTACTTTTTTAATTTTTGCAGAGGTAGTCAAGTGGAGCTTACACTTGAATTCCAAATGCATTCCTTAAGTAAGAAAAGCTAATAAAAATAAAGTGAATAAGAGGAAAGAAGAGTATAAAATTTGATCTGTCCCCCTTGGATTAGTCTGGCCTATGCTTCAATTTGTTATATATATTTCTGTTTTACGTAAATTTTCCATGCTTTTAGTCTCAAGGCAGAGATCTGAAGAACAGCAGTCTCTCTCAGTTCATCAGCCATCAGCCAGAGTCTTGTCATTTAAACAAATGGAGGCATTGTCTCAGGAACTTGGTTTTATGAAACTGAAGCAAGACTCAGAAGCAGAAAGGAATGTGAGGTGGTTTGAATCAGTAAGTATTAATATGACTATACTTGCATGTGTTGCAATTAGGTAGTAGGTATGACTGCTTTTTCCAAGCTCTTGACTACTGTGCAGTGTGCAAACATTACTTTGAGTCTCAACCACAAATACCACTAATATTAATGATATATCCCTGATCCATAAAATTTTGAAACAATGCAATGAACAAAAGCATAAACATATAATATATTTGCTGGTAATTAGCAGCACAAGTGCACACTGTATTATTTCTACTTGTTTATTATGAAATTTAACTGCTACTGCTCTTTTTAGTACAAAATTTTTGCTACAAAGTTGCTCACTTGCTATTCTGATCTCCAATACAACGGTCATCCAGACTACAAGAACCCACCTACTAAGCAATTCACACTGTTTGAAACCCAGGGGAGCTTTTCATGGACTAAGTTAGAAGCAGAGGTATAGTGAAAAAGGGAAAATATTGTAATTTAATTGAAAGCAAGAGTGGCAATAGGCATATGAAGCTTGAATATATTCCTAGATTAGATACTTGAATTAAAATTTTATAAATTACAATTTTATGTATTTAATTAGGTTAAAAAATGTAGCAAAGAAAAAAAGGAGTTTGTTGAAGAAATGGTGGAGTATAGGAAAAAGCATCAGCTTCTTTCATACATTAATACTTTGAAGCTTAAAGTCATTTATGATAGTCTTATTGGCCTCAAGGATATTGATAATCTTCTTAGAGATGTTGGTCTGTTCCTTAAGCTGGATGTTAACTCTCACCCTCAATTATATAGATGTCTTGAGGTTGGTCAAACAAATCTGGAATTAGTCACTTTGTATAATTTAGCATCTAAAAATTTTACCATGCATTATAATAATATTAAAAGTCCTTGAAATTATATTGTTTTATAGGGTCTCCA